TTTGTTGACGACAGCTTTACAACCTTAACGGTCCCAGTACTTAACAAGCACATACTTGCCCAAAATGTGCACTACAACTACTATACCCCAAGTACCTGATCATTAGATTCTTGGGCCCTTAGAAAAACCCTTAAACCCTAACCCCAAAATCCCTCAACGTTTCCAGCGGTATCCTGGACCCTTCGCAAATACTTCTCATTTGAGCGGGCCATATATACACCTCAAAGCCTTATCATCCTGGAGGCCATTTGGGCTATAGTAGTCTGAACCCCTAGAAGTTTGGGGTTTAGGGTTTCGGGTTTACTCAATAGCCCCTATAATACTCCCCTATATAATCCCGTATATACACCCCTTTGAGGAGTTTTTAGACTATAGCTCATGTGGATTAAGTGTTTAGGGTTTAGGGGTCAGGAGGCCCGGGAATACGGCACCCTGTTTGCTGTTTACCCCAAGCGCTACGACTCTGAAACTGTAAGCCAAAGACACCCTAAAGCCCAAAATCTTTCAAACCTGAAGGACACAAACCCCAAAGCCCTCAGCCCTGATATATGTGGCGATTTCTGAGGTCTTAGGAGTCTACAAAATCCGTCCTCCAGTGGATGGCGGGAATCTGCAACACTTATTACTCAATGATGCTGCAATTCCTGGGGTATAGGGTGTAGGCATACACACATATGTAAGGTGAAGCAAGATTCCCTCCATCCACATGAACACTATAAACGCCAAAGCGCTGAACCCTAAAGCTCAGTCTGCCCAGGAACCCCGTCAAGAGAACAGCTCTTTGGTGGCTTAGGGTTTAGGCTTCAGGTATTCCCGGCGGAGTGACTTCATGACGTTAGAAGAAGCTTGGTAGATTTCGGAAGGGGAACAGTGATTTCCAGCTTTGATGGGAGCTGATGGAGGCATGGAACAGGTGATGCAGCAGGCCTGTGCCCTCTCAAGGGTCCAGGGTTTTGGGGTTTGGGTAATAGATAGAATATGGCTTTGAATATATTATATTAAGATTCACATATACCCCATATTCTATCGGCTTAAGGGCAACTATATACTGTAAGAATGCTTGAGCCCTGCTCTAAACCCTAAACCAAAGCGGACTATACGCAATCTTGGAGGGCCGGAAGGTTTGAGCTCCGCCTTGTGAGAGCCCGCAGGCGTCTTGCGGTAAGATGGTCTGAAACCCCTTCTCTCGGTCACTGTTTTTGGCTTTAGGGTTTAGGGTTTAGGGAACTTAAATCAGATTGCCATTGAATAAATACATGGTGAATGGATAATTCTTGGTGTGAGGTACTTAAGGTCCCGCATGAAATATAACTTTCACCGTAAAAACCCTCTAGACTTCACAGATCCGTATGTATCCTGTATAGATTCCCATTTAAGGTACAAGCTACTCCAGCTCACGCATGATATATAGTCTCACCCTTTCTTCCAGCTCTTGTACCTCGTCGGAGTAGAAAAGCCCAGCCGCCAATTCCAACCAGATGGCTTCTAAAGGCGTCCTGAAACAATTTGGAGGATATGGATCGCGCCTTCATGTTTGTGTTATGGAACGAAAAACAGGCTTGATGCTGCAGATCCCATAGATCGCGGTATGGATTGAACGTCGTGCCCCCCCCCCCCCTCCATATCCCCGACATAACCCTATGCCCCCTAAAGACTCACGTTACCTACAGTTATAACTGTCACTTTCAGGCGGAACACAACCCTAAAGCCTATAGACCCAATAGACCCTATACACCCTATAACCTTAAAACCCTAAACCCCAAACCGTGTGGCCTGTGGGGAAGGAGCTGCGAGGCAAAGTGACAGGTCAAGAGCCAGAGAAGCACCGCAGGAAAGAAAAGGACCTCAGCAATACTGGATTGGGGTTTAGGGATTAGGGAGCTCTACCTGGAGTAACCAATATACCTGTAAAAAAGGGGTTTTGCACCTGATATGTTGGTATATCTAGCTTTTTTAGAGGGCAGGTTGCTCTAGGTACATGTTTAGGAGGACGTATTTAAATCTTAGGGTTTGGGGTTTAGGCAGGGCTTAGGAGCATTTATTCAAGGTTTGAGATTTAGAGTTTGGGGTTTAGGGTTGGGACCTAAATGTAATAAACAATAGATGGGCACTACTGCGCCCAAAGTTTCGTACGCATGGGTTTTGGCACCGTTTAAGAGTACATATGGTTTAGGCGGTTTAGGGTTTAAGGGCTTAGTGGCCTCAACAAGTCTCAATAAATGGAAAGTCCAATGCAGAAGAAGATGGAATACAATGTGGAAATTGGCTAGATATAGGGCCCTAAACCCTAAACCAGGGGCTTATAATAGAGATGTAGAGGCCTGAAGAACTGCCAATATCATGTCGGGGTCTTTTTGAGGTACCCCATACCATAACTATTGAGACCCTAGACCCTAAACCCCTTGAGGGCTTTGGAAACTAGATCTTGACTGAAACTCCTCTCTGAGTGCGGGTACGTAATAGCCGAGTACTTGGGATGTTGGTAAGGGGACTTTAAATCCCCAAACTATGAACCCTAAACCCCTAAACCATAAACCTTCTTAACCCCTAAACCTACAGTGGGCTGGGAAGCATATGATTATTGGGTACTGGGATCCTCAGGGTTCCCTGATGGCCAACCTAATTGAAGGCCTCTTGGAGAGTATATGCTTGAGAGGTCAAGGCTACGTGCGGCCGTTCAAATTGGGAACTCCTCAAGTGGGGCTTTGCTAGGATAACCTTAGACCCTGAGACTTCGGCGACAGAACGTAAAGACACCTTAACGCTATGTTGATAAGTCTTCCATTTTTAAAGTTTCTATATCGCGTCGAAATGACGAAAGGCCCCTGTCAAAACAAAGGAGGTCCTTTGTACTAACTTGCTTGGTATGCGCATGATTTTGCTTAAGGGAAGAGCGCTTTCCTTGCGAAACCTTCAAATTTTCATGGGAAGCTAGAGGGACGGAAAGGGGGTGGAAGGGGCTATTTTGCCACAAATCCTCTCACCCCCCTTCCCTAAACCCTAAACCCTAAACCCTAAACCCTAAACCTCACAGCTTACACCCTTCGCCCCCAGGCTCCCCATGAGGTTTCGATGGATCCAAAAACCCCCGAACCCTGGAGGGAGGAAATCCAAAACCCGAAACCCCAAAACCCGAAAACCCTAAACCCCAAAACCCTACCTGGACCCCTAACCCATATAAAACAATAGCCCTAAACCCATAATAATAGCCATAAAGGCCATGATGTTACATACTTTTGGGGTCCAGGTAAACACTGTACAGTTTACAGTGTCCACTAGTCCGTTGCTTTTGGGCTACAGTCAGAAGCATGCAGCTGCCGCCGACGCCGAGGAAGACGAGCTGGAACTTGAGGATGATGTAGATGGGGACGTGCGGACATGCGGCTTAGGGATACGTACGTGGCACTCAGGGCCCCTACTAAAGGTTAACCCTTAGTTACCTATAATAGGAATATAAGGGAATCTCAAAGGGTTAAGGGTCTAAGGTCCAAGCTAAGTCCCAAGGAGATACTATAGGAGTATAATTGAGGTTATATAGGGATTATATGGGGATAATGGAAAAGAAAAATCGAAACTATTATTTAGAGTTTAGGGTTTAATGCCGCGACGCAAGCCCCAACCCCTGGCCGAAAGGGAGATTCTTTCTGGTCGGCGACTTGCCGGGGTCCTGTGCGAGGAGTCCGTGCCCTGTGTCGTAAGCGGCCTGTGCTGCTAGCCGCGCCGTTTTGTTGGCGAGCAGGCCCTTGCCGACCGCAACAGCGAGCTCTTGTATAAAGTATCTTCAACTCATGCACGAGGATGTAGGCCACGTATCTGATGTACGTACTTGGACCCTTCAGGCTTGTCCAAGGGGTTTAGGATTTAAGGTTTAGGGTTTAGGGTTCAGGGTTCGGGCATTAGGGTTTAGGGTGTAGGGTTCAAGGTTTAAGGTTGAAGGTTTAGGGCTTGAGGTGTTGCAGGCTCAGCGAAAGGTCAGCACGAATTGGTCAAGCCTGAAGCCTACACTTGCAGGCGCCCTACACCATGGAGGCTCCATGCAGCATGCTTAGGCTCTCAGTTTCAAAATCGCTTTTGGCGCAAAAATGCTTCCTCTAGTTAGTTGCTATTCGGGAACTTGGACCCTCAGAACTGATTCTCTGCCCTCAGCTCTAAACCCCAAGCCTAACCCCGCGCACAAAACGCCTGAACCTTTCTCCATGAAGGTCCAAGAACTGAAACAGGATGAATGCGGGCTTCCAACAAGGAGGGATCCCTTTTTGAAAGGGGGCGCGCAATAAGGATTGTAATATTTCTGCGTCTTTGTTCGTTGCCACCGTTCATGGTAACTAGTATACAAGTGCTTGGGCACCCAGGTTATATTCTATTTGGGCACTTGGAATCCTAGGGTCGCACCTTAACCAGCAATTTGGAACTGGTTTAGGGTTTAGGGTTTAGGGTTCAGGGAGTGAAGGAATTGAACAACAAACGGACACTACTATAGTATTCCGGATTATTCAAGCACCACCCTAGGGATCCAAATAGCCCAATGTAGGAAATATTTACAGGCTTCAGCCCTAAACCCTAAACCCTAAACCCCAGTATGCTTGGAGCCCTAGGGCCACTATGAGGATTCCTTCGCTCCTGCTAACCAGAGGTGAGACCAATGCTGTGCCAAGATGCTGTAAGGAGGTAGCACAACGGCTTGTTTGTTCCTGGGGGCAGCGACGCATGGGGAGCGTTACATGGGAAAGTCTCGTTTTGGTACCCTTTAAATATTAGCACTACAATCTACAAGCAAAAGGTGCCCATAGTTTTGAGAACAACCCATGGGGTCCCTAACAGTCGGTAGTTCGTCAGTTTGTCCCTAACAGAGGGTAGGTGGAGGGTCGAAATAGGAAGATCAGTATGGTAGTGTCCCTAAATAATGTGAAGGAACCCAATACAGTTCCCAAAGCACTGTTGTCCTGATTATAATAGCCCCAAAGAAGGTACACCTAATTTTGGAAAACCTCCCTATCAATTCAGTGAACTGTGACCCGTCCTGCCACACAGCTGATGGCCATAGCGTCCACGTCGAGAGTGAAGATCCTAGGCACAGCGGTTGAAGGGTAGGGGAGACTTGCTAAGTATACTTGTTCGCCATATGGCAACATCAGGACCAAGACTTTTGCTCTGGCAGTTGGCGCGGGCAAGCATTTCGGATTCAGCAAGGACAAATGCTGAGGCTCCTCCGCAATACCTTGAATGTATATATGTGCATTTGAAATACAATCATGCGGAAAACTCACTCTTAGAAATGCACATGAAACATAATGTTTGCTGTCTAGAAGCCGCATGCCAAACTTGAACAGGCCCGGGAGAGCTTCCGGGCAAGGCGGCTTGGATGCGAGCGCCTGCTTCTTGATCTGCAGGTAATCAGGCGCACTGCCTTCCCCGCAGCGGCTGATCAGAGTGCAGACTCGTCGGAGCAGCTGCATTTCCGACTCTTGCTTCTGTAAGCTGGCGTTGAAACTTGCCTGGGCCATTTGCAGCAGCTCCGGAAATTTCACTCCGACTTCGGCAGCAATGACTTGCCACTCGAGTCCAGAGACGGCATGTGCATGCAATATAGGGTCGCGCCGCAGTACGAGCTCGCAGCTCACGCATCCGTTGACTGAGATGATCTCAGACTGGTGGGGCGCGCCGCCTGCGATGAGCCGAAGTGCCCAATTTGTGTGGGAGGCTGACAAGCTGAGCACTTTCAGCGAGTCGCCGTCAACTTCACCCAACTGCTGGCCTGCGGAAGTGGCAAGTTGAACGTTGAAGTCGCGCTCTGAGCGCTCATTGACTTCAATGCCGATGGCATTCACTCGAGTTGGCACAATGATCAGATAGAGATTTTGATGGTACTAAGTCTAGGTTTTGTTTCCCAGGAAATACAAAAAAGCAAGAGCAAATGGAGATTTTAACTTCAGGAATTAGTTTAGGGATTCGGTCTAAGGGTATTTAGGAGTAACCTGTACCTGAACCCCAAAGGTATGTATAATAATGACCCTTTGGCCAATATTGAAGTGCTCTGGGTTATTCCCAGAAAGTCCAATATTCCTTAATTAGGGAATATACCCTAAATCATAATTAGTGATCCCTATAATAGTTTAAGGTATATTCCCTTATCAAGGGCTATTGGACCCCTAAACCCTAAACCCTAAACCCATTAAGGGATATTGGACTCTCTGGGTTGTTCCACATTTGTGAGGTTTGGGAAAGGTTTTTGAATTCCAGGTCGGGCTCCAGGGTTTAGGGTTTAAGGGTTAAAGAGTTTAAGGGTTTAAGGGTTTAGGGTTTAGGGTTTAGGGTCTAGGGTTTAGGTCTTAGGGTTTAGGGTCTAGGGTTTAGGGTTTAGGGTTTAGGATGTAGGGATACATGGTCGAAAGACAATTTTCCTTGCGACGCCCTGGCATGTTACCCTGCAATGAAGTATGACATCTGAGATGGTGATGCACTATTTAGGGCTTAGGGTTTGGCCGCAATGTCCCCGAATTGGGGGGTTATGCCTTAAACAGCTTTAGGGATCCTAGCAGCATGTAGAGTATATTCCCTAATAAAAGGTTTTTGGGCTAGCTGAACCCTTAAACCGAGCCCCTAAACTAATTCCTCCTCTACCAACGAAGTTATTTACATAGTTCACGGTACCCGGGTCTGAAGTCGCTATGACGTTCATACGAAGGCTTCTATGTGGTACCAGTGGTGCCCGTCAGAAGGTCTAGGGTTTGGGGCTTGCAGTGTGTACCAGCAGCCTCAATTGCTACTGGTACCTCCGACCACCACAAGTCCAGCCCCAATCAGAATCGCGATAGCAGCTTTTTGTCACTAGGAAATAACAAGACGCATGACCATAAAAGACATGGGGCATAGGAACTTCGGGAAACACTTGGCCATAGAAATCACAAAATCACACAGCCTGAGCCCACGGGCTTTAAGTACCCAACTATAAGGTTTTTAGGTGTCAACGTAGTCCGTAAAATTCTTGGGGCACACTGCCTGCTATTTGGGAAGTTGGATGCTTAACCCTAGGCCCGAAGCTCCAAATCGGAACCCCACACCCTATAGACCCACCATGTCACTTCGCATGGGCTCCGGAAAGTCAACCTCAGCTTTGGTGGAGTGCTCTCTTCATGCTGTCTACCTTAGGTGGACCCCCACCCAGTAATAGTGACTATTATGGCTAATAAGGATTATATTGGGGTCCTCTCATATTCCTATTATACCACTATTACAGGGTGGGGGGTCCTCCTAATGTCTACCCATGGACATCAACAGCCTAGTACCTACGCCCCTACTTAAAGATCTAAGGCACTCTAGGTGGGACTTGGCGGGTTTGGTATAAATGTCTTCAAATGGAGGAGGATGAGGAAGTGTGTGGCGGCGGGGACCCTAAAGCCCAACCACGGGAATCCTGGGAAACTTGGGGAGTACAAGAGGTGATGGGCGTTCCTCTCACAGATTTCAACAAACTCCAACAAGTGTTTAGGATTTGGGGGTTTACCAAATTAGGAGTACCTTTTCCGGGGTCCCTGTATCAAGGATCATAGCATATTGGGATCTATATTGGGGTCCCTTTATTCAGGGAAACTACCACTTAGGGGTTTAGGGGTTTTATGTTGAGCAATGAGGCAGCTTGGACTTAAGGGGAACTCCAGCAAAAGACTCATACAAGCTTTAGGCAAATCCAAAGCGATTTATTTGTAGCCGTTCGAAAATGTTGTGCCACTCCTTTTTTGGGGAAGCCTGAAGCCCTTAAGCCCCAAACCCTTAAAGCGGCACACAGACCTAGATTTGACTCTCCAGAATCCTAGACCTCAGCTCCGGACTCAGAATCCCTGTAAATCCTGAACCCCCCAAGCCCTGCGCATGAACACCTAAGCACAACCCCTAGGCCAAACCGCAAACTCAAAGTGAACCCTAGGCCCTAAAGTCTACACCCCAAACTTCCCTGAACCATCAACCCCACAAACACTAGGCCATACGCCAACACCTTACCAGTGCAGCGAGAACGCTCAAAATCCCTTGGTTAGGGGATATAGCTTAATTAAACATATTAGGGATCCTAATATGATTTAGGGCATACTCCCCTAAACCCTAGACCCTAATCCCTAAACCCTAACCTCTCAACCCCTAAACCCTAAACCCCAAAACCCTAAACCCTCAAACCCTAAAACCCAAAACCCAATGCAACGAGGAGCCGTCATCATGCCGATGATGCCCACGCTCTGTAGCATCGCGATCGTCATCCCAAAGGCCTCAATGAACCCAGAAGCACAACATCCATTCACATGAGCATCCCCTTAATAATGGAGAATCAAATGGAAAAGAAAATGGAAAATTGCATGGAAACTGCTATCTATAGGGTTATGTAGGGGATTATAGGGGTCATAGTCTAAACCCAGTTAGAACAATAGCCATTCACATGAGGGTATATAGGGAAGGTAGGGTTTAGGGTTTAGGGGTTTAGGGTTTAGGGGGTTTATCCACTCACATGAGCCAGAATCTACACTCCTAGTATCCCCCTTAATAAGCCCTATAGTAGTCCCCTCTCTAATCCCCATATAACCCCCTTTAAGGAGTTTAGACAATAGCTCACATGAGAGTATATAGGGAATGTGGGGTTTAGGGTTTAGGCTTTAGGGTCTAAGGTACATTCCCTAATTAAAGGATGTCGGGCTTACTCGGTCCCTCAGCGGAAGGCATATTCTGGCCTTTTGGTTAGCCAGGAATGAAGGAATGGATCCTTATAGTCGTCCCTATATTAACCCATTATAGTAGTTTCCATGTTCTGTTCCATTCCTTCTAAACCCTAAACCCTATAGAACCCCATTCGAGCAGTTTCCATGTTCTTTCCATCCCTTCATTCCCAGCTAACCCCTGGCGGCCAGTATACAGTTTCCACATGCAACCCACCCAGCAGGTCACCGCAGGGTGGCAGAGGCCTGGCTAGCGGACCACATTGCGTCGGATTCCAACAGACCAAAAAAGTCCAATATCCCTTAAGTAGGAAATATACCAGTATGGGCTATTAGACCTTAAGGGTACCTTAATCTACCCCTAATGGGTCCTAACAGGGAATTTTAGGGTTTTATAGCCCATGGTGGTACCTTAAATCATATTAGGGGTCCTTAATATCATTTAGGGTATATTCCCTAAACCCTAAACACTTAGTATCATTTAGGATCTATTCCCTAGACAGCCTGCAGGCAGTGGCGGGATAAATCTTTCTGCAATCCGATCTGCAGATCCTGCCGCATTAGTGAATCATGGCGCCTAATCGCGAGTTGTATCGACCGCCCAGATTTTCGGGTGAACACCACCTTAGAAGGGGCAATATGACCTTCCCTTAACCCTAAACCCTAGACCCTCAAAAGTCTTGAGATCAGATGTACCCTCCCGGAAACTAACATGGAAACCCAAGAAGGGCCCTATAAAGACTACAGTCCCTTTACAAAAGGGGGCTATATGGGTTTCCATGTTAATTTGGGGGAGTGTAGTCACTTGCTTCAGCGCTCGCTTCTCAAACCTGATTGCAGGAACTCCACAGGAGCGAAGGAGACCCGAAGTCCTCATCTCTAGGGTTTAGGGTTTAGGGTTTAGGGCCCTGAACCCCTAAACCCTTAACCTTAAACCCCTAAACCTCAACCCCTAAGCCCTATAATCCCTACAACGTACCCCATGTCGTCCCAATACATCCCTTGGTCATTGTCGAATGCAGCCATTCGATGCGGAATTTGACTAAAACGCTACAAAGAATACAGAAGTCTAATTGGAATACTATCCCAAGAAAGAACCAGAACCCCTTTGTGGAGATTTGCATGTTTGACTAAAGACAGGGTAACTTAGAATAGTTTCAATTCCCAATTCAAGGCCATTTTGGTACTATTCCCTATGTAAACCACCATCTGGGGTGAGGTCGCTTTACATTGCCCAGGATTGAAGATACTTTTGCCACCCAAGTAAAAGAGCCCGGAGACCCGGACATGGCTATGCGTTGGTTGTAAATGTAGCTAGGCTTTAGGGTTTGGGGTTTGGGGTATAGGTTCAGGGTTTGGGGTTTATGGCAAGCACCTTGACCGCAACACCTGAACCTAAAATCCCAAATACTAAGCCGCTGCTAAAATGTAGCTGACGTACCGGTTGCAGGAGACAGTGATTCGCCAGGAAGAGGCGTGTTGCACATGGGTTTTTCATTGCTTCCAGACTCAAAGTTTTCAATGTTTGAATACTCACAGGACTAGATTGATTGGGCCATATATGTAGAGGAATTCGATTTTTTGAGAAGTTAGGACATGCATGGTAGGCTAGCATGTCTTCTAGCACGAACGTGGGTCCGTTTAGGTTTGTGTATATACATAAAAGTACAATGCGTCACCTTTTAATGATCATGAGGGCATGTAACATCAAGACATTTCACCTTATTGACAGCTAACCTGGTCACGGCTTCATTGCATCCCATGCATCATTGCTGGCAGGTACCTCAAGTTATGGAAGCCCTAAGGGGGCCATTTTGGGACCTTAGGGATCCTTAGGGAGGCCTTGGGGAGGTCTTAAAAAGATGATTATGGGTACCTCAAATATGGGGCCCCCCCCGGATCCCATAATCAAGGTTCTTGCTACTTACCCTCCTCCTGGAGGCCTCTAACCCAAAACTCAGAAGCCTGAGCCATAAACTCTAAACCCGCAAGCCTACAAACCCAGAACCCTAAGCCCTAAACCCTAGAACCCTAAATCCTGAATCCCTAAACACTAAAACCCTAAACCCTAAAAAAGCTAAACCCTAAAACCCTAAAACCCTAAAACCTCTACTGAGTTCTGGATGCAAACCAGCCGCGCATGTCGTTGTAAACAGCACCTCGCAGGTTCAGATGAGCCATAGGGTTTAGGGTTTCGGGTTTAGGGTTTGGGGTTTAGGATTTAGGGTTTAGGGTTTAGGTTCTAAAGCTCCTAGTATCCCTCTTACTAATGGAGAATCAAATGGAAAAGAACATGGAAAATGAAATAGAAACAGCTAGGGATTTCAGTCTAAAGCTCCTAGTATCCCCCTTAATAACCCCTATAGTAGTCCCCTACATAATACCTTATATAACCCCCTGTAAGGAGTTTAGACCCGCAACCCTAAACCCTAAACCCTATATAATCCCCGACGTAATGGCTCAGATCTGCAGCAAGCAACCTACAGAGCTTGTGAGACCCGAGGACGAGGGAAGGTCCGCGCTACATTTTGCTTACAAAACTGTTCCAGCAAGTTTAGGGTTTAGGGTCTCGGGATAGATGGAGTTTTCCCTAATGGTCCAAGGGCCCAAATAATAGGCTTTATGGGCCTAAATATCACTAATGTTATAGTATTTGGGCCCGAGAAACCCTGCTATTTGGATCCTTGGACCCCCAGAGATAGTGTAAGGCATGGTAGACTGATATGCTATGCTAAATCTATCTTAAGCTTAGAATCAAATGTTGAGGACGTGGGATTTGCATGTTGCATTATCCAATTGAGTAATGTTTTTTTGGTGGTTGAACCTAATAAGATTATATTCCTTATATGAAATACTATACCTCAAAAGGAGGATAGAATCTTACTGTATATTGGGTACCATAGTAGCCCCAAATAAAATAATACTCAATTGGGGGTTTAGGTTTGGAGCTCAAAGAGGGCTGCTGAAGATCTGGTGATGG